CGGTTCAGATCATCAATGCGGATTCTATCGTGGGCCCACAGAGGCCCAATTGCACCCTGTAGTCTAATTTGGATTGGAGAGAAGCCTTTTTCCATAACACATTGTCTCATTTTATAGAAATATACAAGGGCATTTATGTCTTTTATATAGTTACTTTTGGAAGGAAACATTCATTTCTTATGCAAACTTGCTTCAAAGGCGCGTTCACCTCAAATCTTGTAAAGTCGGACAGGAAAGTTACTAGTAGCAGTTTAGTCTAAAATCACAAGAGGGATAAATGATTATTTCTAAATGATAAGGTCATAAAGTACAACTTGCCTAAATCACATTAAGGCAGATTTTGGCCTGGACCAATTTTATAATTATACTTGTGTTTGTAATAATATTATTATCATAGGTTTAAATGACTATTAAGTGCAATGGTAATATCACGTGATTTGATATAATTGAAAAATAATATCAATTTATTGAGATTGTATAGAATTCACATAATTAAATAGGGTAATTTTTCATTGTAGTATTTTACATTAAATTTTATTTTGGTATCTTAACAGTTAATTCTTGTAGTTTTGCAAACAAGTTGAAATGTAACCCTTTTTTTGGTTTAGTGTTAAATCCCTTAGAGAAATTGTCATTCAACCTACACAATATCTACTTCTAGGAAGAAAACAAATGCAAAATTTTTTTCTTCTTCTATTTATTCGATATATTTTCTTTTCCTATTATATTGTTTAACAACAATGTTAGAGGGCCACAATTTTTGTGGCCATAATGGCTCAAAATTGTCAAAACGACGTCATTTTGGGTGCAAAACATGCCAAAACGACGTCGTTTTGACAGTTTTGAGCCATTGTGGCCCTCAAACATTTTCCATTGTTTAAATCCTCCACCGTGACCAAAGAACGGATTGTCTATGATGGTAAGCTTAGAAAATACAGTAAACTAAGAAAATATTATGAAGAAATACAAAATAAAAAGAAAATGGAATAAATTGTATTTTTGTCCTAAAAAGGCCGAGAAATACATGGCAATTTTTGTTAATAAATATAACCACATTAAAACTTGGTCGAAAGTAAACTGCTACAATTAAAAACTAAAAATCAAAATAAAATTCACCATAAAATAAAATGATTTAAAATGTAATTTACCCAAGAGGTTCGTATCCTCAACAATTGGAATAATTATTTAGAAGTCTCGAAATATTATAGAGTATTGTTCTACTTCAATTATGTTGTGAAAAAAAAAAAAACAATCGAAGAAAAAAATAAAAGTGTGGTGCTATTTCTTGAAAGCCATTTGGCAACTTTCATAAAAACTTGATTTTGGCTAAAAAGTTAAAATTCATTTGAGAACAATATATTTTAGTTAGAAATATCACATAATACCACAAGTCGATAGTGGAACTACGCACACAATATCACATGATGTTTTGAAATATCTAATATTTTTCACTAACAAAAATGCATAAATTCATCCTTATTTATTCATAATTTACCCCGAATATATTTGTGTGGAATAGATTAAATTGATGAACTATGAGGTTATGAGTTAAATGAATTTTAACTATTGATTATTTTTTTGAGTAAATTATGAGTTTATAAGACTATCAATAACAGCCTAAGTAAATTTGGAATCAAATTATAACTAAAAAAATACTTTTATATTTTGATTAGCCTTTTTTTATATATACACTCCATCAAATTCTCTATTTTAAAATTTTATTTTATTAAAGAATTCATTTTTATTTATTTTTTTGTGTTTAAATAATTTTTAAATATCTTTACAATGAATAGTACTTGAGAAATTTTTTTTTAAAAAAAGTGAGATCAAATCTATCAAAAAAAAAAAAAAACCCTAATGAATAGTATTGTAATAAAATTAACCAAAAACTATTTTGAAAAAAATTTGTTGAGAGTGGTGGAATAATAATTTTATGATTTAGGAGTTATATGAGATTAAATGCAATGATAATCTCATGTGATTTGATATAATTGAAAAATAATATCAATTTATTGAGATTGTATAGAATTCACATAATTAAATAGGGTAACTTTTCATTTTGGTATTTTACATTAAATTTTATTTTGGTATCTTATTTTTAATAATGGCAGTTAATTCTTGTACTTTTGCAAACAAGTTGAAATGTAACCCTTTTTTTGGTTTAGTGTTAAATCCCTTAAAGAAATTGTCATTCAACCTACACAATATCTACTTCTAGGAAAAATTTTTTTTTTCTTCTTCTATTTATTCAGCCTCCGTTTGGGAAGTGGATTGGCTTTTTGGCTTTTTTGGCTATTTTAGCCTGGGCTAAAAAGTTTGGTTTGGGAAAGATTTTTTTGGCTTTTTTGGCTTTTTTTGTGAGAGAATAATGCAATGATTATGGGTTGGATGTGATATTTTGTTTTTTGTGACTAAAATAACCAAAAAAACCCCGTTTAGCTCTTGCCAAACGGAGCCTCAATATATTTTCTTTCTCTATTATATTGTTTAAATCCTCCACCATGACCAAAGAACGGGTTGTCTATGATGGTAAGCTTAGAAAATACAGTAAACTAAGAAAATATTATCAAGAAATACAAAATAAAAAGAAAATGGAATAAATTGTATTTTGTCCTAAAAAGGCCGAGAAATACATGGCAATTTTTGTTAATAAATATAACCACATTATAACTTGGTCGAAAGTAAAAATGATTAACTGTTATAATTAAAAATTAAAAATCAAAATAAAATTCACCATAAAATAAAATGATTTAAAGTGTAATTCACCCAAGAGGTTCATATCCTTAATAATTGGAATAATTATTTAGAAGTCTCGAAATATTATAGAGCATTGTTCTACTTTAAATTAATTATGTTGTGAAAAATTTTACGTGCAAAAAAAAAAAAAAAAAAAAATCGAAAAAAAGAGAAAGTGTAGTGCTATTTCTTGAAAGCCATTTGGCAACTTTTAAAAAAACTTGATTTTGGCTAAAAAGTTAAAAAAAATAAGGGTAAATTACGAACACACCTCTTGAGATTTGTTTAAAATATGAATTGCCTCATGTGGTTTTGAAAATTACATCCGCCCCTCTAAATTTTTAGTTGTACAACAAATAATCCCTTTATTTAATAAATTATCAAGTCAATTAATAGTTTTAATGATATCATAAATATTGAAAAATCTAGAAATCCTCTAGATGTTGATTTGTGATTATGTATCAATTTTAAGTAGAATATAACAATCCCAATCAAACAATCAAGACAAAGAGACACAACGATTTAACGTGAAAAAAACCACAATTGGATACCTCCAACTGTGATAAAAAAATCACGGGCAACAGCCACAAGAACAATCCACTAAGAAGATTTAAAGGAATTACACAGGTATACTCTCAATTACCTAGCGAATCCACAACGCCTAATTGAACCAACCTCTATGTGCCTCTTCCAACCCCATCTTCACCACGGAATTATCTTTCTGATGAGCCACTCCGGATTCCACCAAAGCTTCAGGCTCGAATTCTTCAGAATCCACAACTGAAGAACAACTCTACCTTTGATGTACTCTCTTTAAATCATGAGTTGAAAACTCAATAAAAACATCAAAGAAAACTAACAAAATCTTTCCAAATATAAACCTTAAGATCCAAAAATAAGATCTAGAGTAGTAATCCTAAAATCTGACCCAACACGCGAATTTATAGAATCTGTCCCGCGATCTCCGCTCGAGCGCTCGAGCGGCTTCAGCAAAATATGCGCGTGATATAACAGAGGTCCGCTCGAGCGCCAGAAAGCCCGCTCGAGCGCAAAATCACATATCTCAGTACTTTTGCAGGCGACCAAAACTGCTAGAACCTGGGATTCTCCGCTCGAGCGCGGGTATGTCCGCTCGAGCGGACAGGCAATTTTGAATGCATTTTTGCATTTTGCTTCGGGGGCACTGCCCCTCGACCCCGCCGTGGCGCTGCCCCCTGGACCCCCGCGAGCTGACCGGGCAGCTCGATCCCCATCATAATCAGCGAAGTGGCAATCTTGAAAGCTTTATCATCACAAATTTCTCTGAAATGCTTGATTCGGGTTGGATTCGCATCTAACAACTCATAGCCTCACTGAAATAAAAAAGAGCGAATAAAATTACAACTCAAAAGAGTTTTGTCAAACGGGATTGCCAAGAAATAAAACCTAACAAATATATTTCAATTAACAATTCAAGTAATTTTATTGTTATATAAAAGAATAATTAGGAATTTTATTTTTCTATTAATTCTGTTAAATAAAAAATTCTGATAAAAGGATAATTATAATTTTCATAATCATAAGGGCAATCTGCAATTTAAGCAAATTTCGGAAACTATATTTGTAATTTATCTAAAAAATTATTAAGTTAGTTTATAAGAATATCCATATGAGCCTAAGTAAATTTTGAATAAAATTATAACACAAAAAATATTTTTATATTTTAACTAGCATTTTTTTATATACACATTCCATAAAATTTTCTATTTTAAAATTTTATTTTATTAAAATATTCAATTTTATTTTTATTTTTATTTTTTTGTATTTAAATAATTTTTAAATATCTTTACAATGAATAGCACTTAAGAATTTAAAAAAAAAGTGAGATCAAATATGTATATAAAAAAAAATCCTAATGAATAGTATTGTAATAAAATTAACCAAAAAATAATTTTGAAAATAATTTGTTGATGAAATAATAATTTTATAATTTTGAAGTTATATGAGATTTGTAGTTTTGTTAACCAAACTAATCACATCATGACACATAGTACTATTGTGTAAGTAACATTAAAGAAATGAACAGAGGCCTTTCACTATTTTGAGTGATGTTAAAAATCCCAAATAATTTATCAAAATTTTTATCAAATCTCTTATATAGGTGTAGATCTTGCATGAATTTGTGTAGGTCCCAACCTACGTGAAAGATTTGGTAAATTATTTGAAATTTATAACATTTTCTCACTGTTTTTGGGAATTTTTTTTTCTCTCTCAACCTCTCTCTCTGTCTCTCTCATCTCTCTATCCCGACAACACACGCGCACACACAGAATCCAAAATACATAGCTTTCAAAACTCTCTCTCTCTCTTTCTCTCAAATCTCTTCGTTGCTATTTATGTTACTCTCTCGGAGACCTTCTTCGTTCTTCTTCAATCGATTTGCGTTTCTCTGATCTCGAATATGGTAAAATCTCCGATCTTTTTCTTCACTAGTATCACTTTTTTCCACATTTTATGTTTGTTTATGCTTTCATTTCATGCAAGAAAGAAAATCTCTCGCTTTTTGTTGAATTTTATCTACCATGTTTTCTCACCTCTGTACTGTTCTTGCCTTGTTGTTTTGATTTTTGTTTAGATTTACTCTTCATTTTCTCACTCTGTAACTGGGTTTGGGGTTTCTAGGGTTTTAACTAATTTTGGGGGTTTTTTTAGCTCGTTAAAATTTAATCTTTTTTACTAATTTTGCTTCTGTTTCTCAGTTTAATCTCTACTTGCATGTTCCAGGAAGCAGTTTATACCGATTCCCTTCTCAAATTCGTGTGATCTGTGACAGCTTTTGGTAATTTCAAGCATTTTTTTTCTAGGTAATATTTCGTTGTGTTGTATGTTTATGTTTTTCATTTTCATTTTCATTCTGTGAAAATCATTGCTGTTTTTGTTGTTAAAATCATTTATTTTGTTGACTAGTTGCAGCTGTTGTAAGGAGTACAAGTGGTGGAAGAATCTGGTTTTGTGTTAGTGGAACTGTTGTTTTAAGTGGATTGAAAGTGTGTTTGATAAATTATGGAACAAGGTTTGGGTTCAGAGTCTATTCCTGCATCTGTGTCTTCTGACAAGTCTAGGGTTTTGAATGTAAGGCCTTTGCGATGTCTTGTTCCGATATTCCCATCGCCGCCAGGCATGTCCTCGGTTTCAACCCCCCAAGCTTCCCCCTTTGTGTGTGTCCCTCCTACTGGTCCTTTCCCACCTGGGGTTGCTCCATTTTACCCTTTTCTCATCCCAACCGAGTCTCAGCCCAATCAAGCTGGGCCATTTAGCAATGCGATTCCATCGCCTGTCCCCATAACTTCATTTAGAACACCAGTCTCACATGCTGCGGGAGCGAACTCGACCCAGTATTCTGGGGCTGCAAATGGAGACACAGGGCCATCTAGAAGGAGTTCTAGAAATCGCACAACTGGTGTTCCGACACAATCAGATGGTGCTGATGAAGATGGTTATAGTGACCAATATCTGAGTGGCTTCAGTATGCATGTTACTGATGCAGAAGAGACCAGCAAGAGGGGCAGGAAGAAGGGGAGTTCCCAAAAAAGAACAAAGAGCAGCGTAGGGGTCAACATGGCCACTCTTGATGCTGACATTGATGCAGTAGTCAGCAATTTCCTTATGGGATTCGATTCGTTTAGACGAGATGACGGTGATACTGAGATGGTTAGATATGTTCTCATGATATTTAATTTGCTCCGGAGAAGGATTACTCAAATTGAAGATGCAAAGGATGCAACTCCGGGGATTACAAGACGCCCAGACTTAAGGGCTGGTACAATTTTGATGAATAAAGGGGTTCGAGCAAACCTCAAGAAGAGGGTTGGAGCTGTACCGGGGGTTGAAGTTGGGGATATTTTCTTTTTCAGGATGGAAATGTGTGTGGTGGGTTTGCATGCACCATCCATGGCTGGGATTGATTACATGAGTCTGAAGATTACTCAAGACGAAGAGCCTGTGGCAGTTAGCATCGTTTCCTCTGGCGGATATGAGGATAATGTTGAGGATGGGGATGTCTTAGTTTACAGTGGCCAAGGTGGGGTTCAAAGGAAAGATAAACACACAATGGACCAGAAACTTGTAAGGGGTAATCTTGCTTTGGAGAAGAGCTTGCATCGGGGAAATGAGGTAAGAGTTATTCGGGGTATGAAGGATGATGCAAATCCAACTGGGAAGGTATATCTCTATGACGGCCTTTATAAAATCCAGGAGTCATGGGTGGAGAAAGGGAAGGCAGGTTGCAATGTTTTCAAGTATAAATTGGTTAGAGTTCCTGGCCAGCCTCCAGCTTTTACGATGTGGAAATCAATTCAGCTATGGAAAGATGGTATTACTTCAAGGGTTGGGGTTATCCTGCCAGACCTCACTTCAGGGGCTGAAAATTTACCAGTTTCTCTTGTAAATGATATAGATGATGAAAAGGGGCCTGCTTATTTCACATATATTCCCAGTCTCAAGTATCCAAAACCAATTATTTCACCACAACCTTCTTTGAATTGCAGTTGCCGGGGTGGATGTCAACCCGGTGACCTCAACTGCCTGTGCATTCAGAAAAATGGAGGGGCTCTCCCATATACTGCATTGGGGGTGCTTCTAAGTTATAAATCCTTGATATACGAGTGTGGTTCTTCCTGCTTATGCCCTCCCAACTGCCGCAACAGAATATCCCAGGCAGGTTTGAAAGTCCGTCTTGAGGTGTTCAGAACAAAGGATAAAGGTTGGGGTCTAAGGTCTTGGGATCCTATCCGTGCTGGAGGCTTTATCTGTGAGTATGCAGGAGAAGTCATTGATAAATCCACAGAAGGGGGGTTTGGGAGTGAAACTGATGATAACTATATTTTTGATGCAACTCGCACCTATGAACCACTAGAGGTTATGCCTGGCAATTCTGATGAGCCTCTAAAAATGCCATTTCCTCTTGTTATAAGTGCAAAAAATGGTGGGAATGTGGCTCGATTTATGAACCACAGTTGTACTCCAAATGTCTATTGGCAGCCTGTTTTGCGAGAAGAATCTTATCTCCATATTGCATTTTTTGCAATCAATCACATTCCTCCTATGAAAGAGTTGACATATGATTATGGGATCGTTCAGTCTGGCAAAGCAGAGCCGAGGAGGAAAAAATGCCTGTGTGGATCTTCAAAATGCAGAGGTCATTTTTATTAATGGGTTTTTATCGTGGAGTAAGGTTTGACATCTCCTACTTGCATATCTTGATATTTCTTTTATTTATGTACTTATCTTGTTCTTCGTGTTTAATGATTCAAATGCTTATATGTTTAACTACACTTTGTGTCATATAATTGTTATAAACTATGTTACATGGACTTTTTGAAATAAATCAAACACCTGTGTCGGCTGCTTGAGAATTGGACAACGGTGTGGGATATGTGTTTGATACTTTACATTGGACACTTCTGATATATTTGTATTTAAAACTATTATTGTATGTAGATATTGTTGTATAATTGCTGTAAGTGTTTTCTTGACACTGTATGTTGCATATGAGGCTATTTTATCTCACATAATAGATTAAAATTGTAAAAATATAACATTTTTTGCGGAGGTCGTGTACCCTTAAATTTAAGGTTTGATGGGTTTAACCTTTGGATACACACACATGCGAGTCCATGTAACATAGGTTATAAATGAGACAAGGCAAGTGTTCACAAATTTCTTTCTTGAACATGTTTAGCTAAGAAGCATGAACACTTCTAAGAAGGTAACATGTCATGTCCGATGCAACATTCATCGAACATTTCCCAACACTTAGATACACATGAAACACATTATAAGTTTGAATAAAATAACTTGGAATTCCATAATTAAACAAAAACGATGCAAACTTATATCTATTTTCCTCCTGTAGATGTTAAAAATTATTCAGTGTGTTTGGTTTCAATTTTTTGAATTCAGATTTCTAGAAATTGAGTTTTTTGTTTTTGGTATTTATTTGTTTTTAGTGAATATTTTTAAAAATTTCAGTTATTTTTTTATTTTTTTAGATGCATCTTACTTAGATGTATCTAAATAGTAAAATATTTGTGAAAAATTAATAAATACACAAAAATACGAAAAATGTATTGAATTTTCATATTTTCATATTTTTTTTTTTGTATTTTTGGTGTTTAGTGAATTTTTTAAAGATTTTTTTCACAAATATTATACTTTTTAAGTGTATTTATGTTAGGTGTGTCTAAAAATTTAAAAAAAATGCTTACAATATTAAAAAAATTTAGCGAAAACAAAAAAATACAGGAAACGAAAAAGTAGAATTTTTTAAAAAGTGAATTTTGGAAATGGAAACCAAATAGAGTGATTATGATTGACTTGAATATTCATATATATGACATAATAAATTTATAAAATTGTATATTTTGCACGTGTCCCTCATGCATCGTGTTTTACATTTTTGAAAATTTCCTTGTCAGTGTGTTTGTGTTGTCTCTGGGGCATGTCCCGTCTCCATGTCTATGCTTCTTAACTGCTCGATGATAGAGCTAAAATGGAAAGTCCTGTTTTTTATTTGTTTTTATTCACAAGATCTTATGTGATGAACTCATATAAGTCTTGCTTCTGTCATGGTTGAATTTGAAGTATTACTTGTGATTTTTTAACCATAAGAATTTATAACATGATAAAAGCGAGGATACTTACACCAAAGAAACTTGTTTGTGATGTGCTGAATGCATATAAAACCTTGTTAACACTTACGAAACTAATTTTTTTGTTTTGTTTTGTTTTTTTTTTCTTTTTCTTTCAATCTAAAAAAATTGCTTCATTTGTGATTTCATTTTAATGATGAACTCCGTAGGGGTCTGGGTGAATTTGTATTCATGAAACATTCAATTTTGAGTACCTTTTTTGTGTTATTCTATCATGCTCAAGGTCTTAAAGGCATGCTAAGCCTGAGTATTGAGGCATGTCTTACCTAAATGCTCTGAAGCTCGTGTTTATCAACTAGCAAAGAGGCAGGGCAGGGGCTCATGTCATGTGGCCTGTGAAATGGTTTTTGCATGTTAAGAAAAAGACACTTTTTCCATGGCTTTTGCACGAGTGGAACTTACATGTGCGATCGGCTATTATAATTAACTTCGATGGATAATTCAAAAGCCATGGCTAACACCAAGTATTAGAAGGCAAAAAGATATCTCGTTTAATCAATAAGGAACAACAATGTATTCCAAAGTTTTTAATACCATACTGGTCAGTATACCGTTTTTGTCATTGGTACGGTTTGCACGAGTACCGGTGTATTATGGAGTATTGTTCCAGATTTTTGCTATAAATTTTTATATTTGTTTTTATATATAAATTATATAATACTTGATAATATATTTACGTATTTATTATTTATATTTTCTCCTAGAAACACAACTAATTAGAGTTAGATATCTTATTCTCTCTATATATGGTCTTTAATATAAGAGAGAGATTTTAAAAATCATAAGCAATAAATATGGGAAGATTTCGGTTTATAGAGATGGTAGACAACTGTTCTTTTGTTTTTTTGCTTGCTTTTTTATTTGACAGTGTTGTCAAGTCACCAAGGCATTGGTGATTAGACAGACAGACAATGTTACAGTCTTGTCTGTGACTGGCCAAAAATTCTGATACCGGCTGAAATTTCACAGTAAGGACGAAATTTCCAAAACCGGCCTGAAAATAAACCAAAACGGAATTATACACGCACCGTACCATTTCCTGATCTGTACAGTCTGTATTGGGCATACTGGACCGTAGGGTACGGAAATAACAACTACGATTTATTCTGAGTTTAGTGGACTTGTAGGGAGAACCTTTCATTTGATTGTTTGGATTAGGATGAGAAAACTGCCCTTCCCATTGCATTCATGTGTTTGTATTTTTGATTTTTGCCATGGAATTGTATGTTTTATTTTACTTTTTTAATATTTAGCTTTGCTTTTGATTGTTGTTTTTGTTTAAACTTATTGCCTGTTGTCTTTCATGGACTTCTTGTTACCAACCAAGTACCTGCATCAACATTGACATGGCAAGGTTAAGGGTATGGAACATGTGTACAACATGCATATCAAACCCATACCAAAGCATGTATCCAAATCTGTGTAACATACATCGCAAGTAATTTGTATGTCTTAAGAATTTTTGTGGAATATTATTTTGTTCCCTTTTTAACTTTTTTATTCATTTCTTTTGGGGGCTGGGGTGGTAGGAAGTCAAGGTGGTACCTGCGTATGGTCATAAACATAATGCTGTGGGCATCCTGGTGGTTATTTACAAAAGTTTCATGATTGGCAGTTAGACTCAGTCATTTCTAGAACAGCTAACCTTGGTACTTACCGAGTCATTACTAATTGCACCTGGGTACAACATTTCTCTTGTTTTTTTTTTTATAAATATATTAATGTTTTTGCTATATATATATATATATATATTTGTGAAAAGAATAAAGATTAGAAACTGTAACATTTGTGGGATTATGTTTGTAACCAAGATTTTCGTCATCCTTCCTCTTCTTCATTCTAGTTGTGCACACTGTATGCTTGTCTTTTTTGTTTCTATCATAAATCTCTATAAAACACTTAAGATCTTGATTGGATATCATATACCATGAGCTAATTATGACCGCAAACATGATACCCAATATGCCTAGATTTTTAGAACTCAATAATTAGAAGTTTAGGTTATTGTGTTGATCCTTTTGCTTACCCTTAAAAAAAAATGTTATGATGTATATAATGTATGCGATAATTTAGCTATAGTGCAACAAGTATTCTAAGCAATGTTTTGAAACTCAGATCGTTGTGCAAACTAGAAAAATGATTGGGCCAAGGTTCATTAGTTCAACCGTCGGGTCAACCGGAATCAAACCATGATATCATAATTAGCTTATAAATAAATTTAAAATTATATATAAATAAAAAATAGAGGTATTAAAATTACCAAAAAAATAAGTAAAAACCTAAGTTTTTAATATGTATATATAAATCTGTTTATGTATATGTATATATATATATATAAGTTTTAGTATTTATATGTTTGAATTTAATTATGTAAAATATATATTTGCACTTATTCCTTGCAAAAAATGATATAGATATTCAGGAAACCTTATATAAAAAATTTGCAATATTCATTTGCAAATCATTGAATGGATAAATGATGGGCACGCTTGACTTCCATGAAAGGAGTCCCATGTTTGATACTCCTGACTAGTTCTTATTCCTTTTGCTTTGGCTAAAAGTAGCTGTCAGCGGATCAGCCGGTTCCATGTAACTGACACCACTTTGAACGGCTATAGCGGTCCAGCGGTCCACCCGCGGTTAAGCGGTTTAATCACGGGTTTCTTAGTAAATGGGTTTGGAGGGTTGACCTAACCGGAACTTAAACCGGTTGACGATTCAACTAGTTGAATTGGCTGATCTGGTCCTATTTTCAAATCATTGATTCTAACCACTCAACTTGTATTTGCTGTTTCCATTCAATGGTTTGAATTGGAAAGTGGTTATGGAGATTTCCCATTGAGAGTAATTCATTATGACATTCTATTATTAAGGGGTTATTTGGGATAAACTATATAAGTGTACTTTTTTACTTTTTGGATAAAAAAGTAGAGGAAAAAAAAGATGATTATTTAGGGTAACTTTTTGACTTTTTACGAAAAAATATGTATTAAAATATTGTGGGTGTTTGGGAAGTGGGTTTTTTTGTAGGTTTTTTTAGTTGTAGGATATTATTGGAGAATTTTTTTTTTTTTGTGTTTGGGAAGATAGTTGGGTTTTTTTGTGGTTGGACGTGATGTTTGTGAGAGAAAAAGTGAAATGATTATGGGGTTTGATGTGATATTTTGTTTGCATTTGTTTTTTTTGGTTTTGTAACCAATTTGTCTTTTAGTGGAAAAAAATAAAAAAAAAATCTTTCCCAAACACCGCCATTGTATAAAATAGCAAAATTATCGTGTTACCTCTATGCCCTATGCTACTGACAGTGACAGTTGAATAGTGCAATACAGATTGCTTTGAAATGAGATGGTGCTTTCAAAAGATATATATATATATATGTATATATATAGGATGAGGCTTCCCTCTAGTCCTTCATCGGACTGGAGGGTACTGTTGGGTTCGTGGGAGCCCACCACGGGTCCTGTTTCGATAATCTAAACTGTTCAATGTATAGAACTCGTTGAGTATTATATGATTATAAAAAATCACGTTGATCGGATATTGATAGCTATGTGATCAAATCAGTTTTGTATGAAAAAAATGAACGGTGAAAAATAAATGGCTGACAAAAATCTGATTTGATCACATAGCTATCGATATCAGATCAACGTGATTTTTTACAGGTATATAATACTCGATGAGCCTAAAATGCAATGATTGTAAGGTGATTCCTGGAGAGAGTCTGGTCTCTCAACATAGGATTTTGGTACTAGATTTATGTTTTAGAGGGCAATACCAAGTTAGGAAGGATGGTAGGCTTGAGAGGACGAGATGGTGGGTCCTAAAAGGGGATAAATTAGAAATATTTAAGAATAAACTTAGTGGAAATCATGTCAATTGTTTTAAATCCCGAAATTTGTTTCTTGCTATCAACACTGGGAAATGGATTTTATACTATTGTTACACAATTGTGCTTTTACTAAATTATTCTTTGTGGCATGTGAAGCCCGGACTATTCACTTATCTTATTAGCTTACCCGTTGTTTCACCATTTCAAGTAATAAGGCTTGAGGAGGTGATCATAGCTTACCCGTTGTTTCACCATTTCAGGTAAGAAGGCTTGAGGAGGTGATCATGGAGCTTCCTTGGACCCTTTTTGTATATGTCAAAAACTCTCTTTGTTCATGAAGACTTGGCTTGGCTTGGTGTCTTATTTATGCCATGGCTTGTATCATGTTTTGAGACATACTTATGGTGAATGTATGTTTGTGTGTATACCTTCTTTTGCGTATGGTGGCCACGTTGTTACCACCTAGTCATAGATCTGAATTCCACAGAGGCTGGGGTTCGGGTCGTGACAATGTATGTCTATAAAATTTTACTCTTTTTTTTTTTGGAAAAGCAGAATGGATGTGTCTTAAGTCTTTACGAATTGAACTTGTCTATGGATTGCTTTCATTATTGTTTCTTAATACATGAGGTTAAATGTTTTGTTGAAGTTGCATTTTCAATAAGCTTTTATGATAGGAGCCTATTTATTGTCTTAATATTTCCATTTTTATAATACTATGAAGAAGAATACTTCAAACATGTTTAGTTTTACCTGCAATTATCTACAAATTACAAGTGTTGGTTAAATTCAAGAGACACTAGTGAGACTTGAACCCAGATGTCTGGATTTACTGTTTACAATAGCTAGTAATACGATAAACCAAGATTATAGGTTCTATTGTAGGATTATGAACTTTGAAGTGGAGATTGCACTTAAGAAGATGAAATCAAATAAGGCTTTAGGACCTGATGATATCCCTATTGAAGCTTGGAAGTGTTTGGGTAAAAAGGGAGTTGCTTGGTTGACTAGGTTGTTTAGTAAAATTTTGTTGACTAGGAACATGCCAGATGAGTGGAGGAAGAGTATTTTAGTGCCAATCTATAAGAATAAAGGTGATGTCCAGAATTGTAACAACTATAGAGGAATCAAGCTAATGTGTCATATAATGAAAGTGTGGGAGAGGGTGATGGAACGCCGATTGCGAGACATAACAGAGGTGTCAGAGAATCAATTTGGGTTTATGCCTGGTAGGTCAACAATGGAAGTGATCTATCTTTTGAGGAGAGTAATAGAAAAGTATAAAGAAAAGATATGGTGTTTATCGACCTTGAGAAAGCATATGACAGAGTGTCCCGAGATATAATATAGTGGGTGCTAGAGAAGAAAGGGGTGACAAAAGGCTACATTGACGTGATTAGGGACATGTATGAAGGGGTGGTGACCACTATTAGATCGCCAGCTGGAGAGACAAATGAATTTCCTATCACGGTAGGGTTACACCAAGGATCTACCTTAAGTCCTTATCTTTTTGCTTTAGTTATGGACAAATTGACGATAAATATTCAGGATGACGTGCCATGGTGTATGCTTTTTGCAGACGATATTGTGTTAGTGGATGAGACTAGAGAAGAGTTAACACAAAGTTGGAGATTTGGAGAAAAACTCTTGAATCTAAAGGATTCCGGATAAGCAGAACTAAGACAGATTACATAGACTGTAAATTTAGTAACAGTAACAATAAAAGCAGAAGAGAAGTGAAGATTGAGAACCAAGAACTGTCTAAGAGTGAACATTTTCGTTATTTAGGGTCGATTATCACAACAGCGGGAGAGATTGATGCAGCTGTGGCCCATAGGATTAAGGCGGGATGGTCTAAGTAGAGAAGTGCGCCTGGGGTATTGTGCGATAAACGAATACCCACTAGACTAAAAGGTAAGTTTTATAGAACGGCTATTAGACCAGCTATGTTGTATGGGACGGAATGTTGAGCAACCAAGAAACAACATGTAGATAAGATGAGTGTGACTGAGATGAGGATGCTAAGGTGGATGTGTGGTAAGACTAGACAAGACAGGATTAGGAATGAGTGTATTCGGGAATGGGTAGGAGTAGCACCGATAGAAGATAAGTTGAGAGAGAATCGTTTGAGATGGTTTGGTCATATTCAACGGAGACCAGTGTTTTGAGGAGTGAAAAGATGCGATGCTGTAACGGTAGATGGAAGTGTTAGGGGACGGGGTAGGCTTAGATTAACGTTGACTAGCGTTATAAATGGAGATATGAATCTACTTAATTTGACTAATGAAATGGCCTTTGATAGGGCCGCGTGGAGAAGAAGGATTCATGTAGCCGACCCCATTTGATGGGACTTAAGGCTTGGTTTGGTTTGGTTATATAATACTCGATGAGTTTTACACATTTGACGGTTTGGATTATCGAAACGGGACCTGTGGTGGGCCCCTACTGGCCCAACAATACCCTCCAGTTCAATGAATATATATATCTAATTTTTTCATAAGATATATGAAAAGTACCCCACGGGCACACATGTGAGCTTGTACTACTGGAGGGAACAATTTTGGCTTGTACTTTTTTTTTGGGTACTTTTTTTGATAAATAGTGATAACTTTTTGGTTTTTTTAGTAATTTTTTGACTTTTTTGTGTTTTATAGACTATGCCAAACAAGCACTAAGAGTAAGAACGGGGTGGAAGCTCATCGGAGAGACCCATGTGGTTAGTAGGGGTAATAGTTGAGTTCCATGGAAATCTGTTTCTTGTATTCTCACGAGTGTCTAGATTTCTTTTTCTTTGAAAGGGGGTACTGGGAGTGTTCACTTTGTGAGGATGTTTGGGTTGCGGATTCTTTCTTTGATGTGGCATTTATGAATTTATACCAGGTGGTTCGGTCTTATTTTGCTTCCTTGGCTTCTTGTTCGGCACCGATTTCTTGGGATTTTAATTTCATTAGGAATCTTAATGATCGGGAGAATCTTTAATTGGCATCCTTGTCTTTTCTTGAGGGCTTTCCTTTATCTCCAAATGTGTGCGATGAGAGGGTTTGGTTCATTCATCCTTCTGGTATCTTTTCATGCAAGTCCTTTTTTTGATAAACTTATTGATGAGCCTAATGTCCTTTCTTTTCCATTTTATAAAAGAATTTAGGAAGCGTTTGCGCCTCTTGAAGTGAGGATATTTATTTGTTTTTTGGGTCATGGAAGCATTGTGGCTAATGATACCTTTCAAAGGAGGCCTAATCACCATCTTTGCCTTCAATGGTGCATCATGTGTAGGAGGGATTGGAAATCTTTGAACCAATTGTTCTTACATCGTCCCATGGCATTGAAGATTTGGCACCACCTATTTCTGTTGGTTGATGCTCATTGGTTGGTTCCAGGGGCTTGTTCTCATATGCTTCTAATTGATTTTCTGGAATCGGAGGCAAGAAGAGAGCAAAAGTGTCGTGGAAGTGTGTTGGTTTTGCAATCTTTTGGGTCATTTGGTTGGAAAGGCGACCTTTGAGGATAAGTTTGACGGCAAGGATTCGCTGTGGGAAAAATTGTGTCACTTGGCATTGTTTTGGGCATCCTTTTCCACTCCGTTTAAAGGGGTTCATTTCTTTCTTATTTCTAATATTGGAGGGCGGTTTGTGATGTATAAGGGTTTCTTTTTCTTGGTGAATTGTTTGCTTTCCTTGTAGAGGACTACTTGTCCTCTTTTTGTATCATTTTAATTTATTATTACATTTACTTTCTTTTAGCTGATCAATATATGTGTGTGCGTGTGTGTGTGTGTCCAAGAATCTTTAGATTTGTGAGAGAACCCTGAGATCCTAGATTTTGCTGCTTGTATTTTATCATCTGTAACTAGCTAAAAACTCATTTCATTTCTTTGCAGCAGAGACAAGTTTGTATGATAATCTTACCAATATTTTGGCATAATTTGTTAAAAACTCATTTCATTATTAATTTGGTACGACTATAAATTCATTTGTCCGTGAAAGACAAATTTTATTTCATTGTCTTGATATTGCTTCATAACAAATGATCAGATTATTTTTTATAGTATTTCAACTCGTTAAAATTACTTTATAAGCATGCTGAATAACCTTTTTCTTTCTTCAGTTGATCTGTTGTTTATGGTAAGAGCGAGCTTTGGGGTGAAATGCATGCTTTTGTACTTAAATACATTGCCTCAAGCCGGGTGGTGTCACAGGTATGGTAGAAAACTAGATCCCCATTTTGACTGTAGTATGTTATCTTGGTGAACTTTTTCTTTTCTTTTCTTTTCTCGCTCTCGCTCTCGCTCTCACTTCGCTCTTGTTTTTTTTTTTTTTGGTTGGCTAGCTTGTACTCATGCAAATTGTAAGTTGGAACTTTATGAGGTAGAACTCCTGTTAGTCCATCTAGCTTTCTTCATATCTCTGCTGATCTTTCTAATATTTTGAGTGAGCTGCTTAATTTATTTGGTGATAATTTATTTACTGTGGCTAAAAGGTAAGTACTGTTTGATAGTTTGTTCACAGCATACCATTAACAGAAACCAAAAGCCAAAGGGGGTTTTATTGATTTTTGTATGGTTCAAATTCACGTTTGTTGAAAACCTTCTTTCTTGACCAATATATGTAACTAGCAGTAGCCCATCCAATGCATGAGATTTATAAACATGTTTTCAAAAAATGTTTTTTGTCACCAGATTCTTTTTTACAGTTTTATATCATCTATGTGGCTGATTGTGATGTTATTTTTAAATTATGTTATTTGTGATGTACCCAATCTAACCTGTTCCAGACACTTATTAATGGGTACTAATTGGGCGTCTTTTTTTTATGTTTATTTATATTATTTGTTTTTATTTTCTATATAGTGATGGAGTTTAAACATTTAATCACTACACTAGCACAATTTTTGTTTCTATTTTCTTGTGGAGGAGACGTACCGTTGGAATTAGTGAGAGTTTAGGAGTGCACTTTTTTTTTTTGTTTTTGTTGCCTTATTGGAGGCGTACCAGGTGGAATTGGCTAGGGATCTTACAAAAGAAATCTTGCTGAGATAAAGGTTGTATTATTGGAATTGATTGTTTTTGACTAGAGACTCTACACACATGATGTGTGTGCAAAATATGCTTTTAACAAATTTTATTTTATTTCTTTTTACATATTGTGGGGTAGTTCGCAACGTGAATTCATTGTGGTGTTTTTGTCATTTGGTTTGCAACATGAATTCATTGTGATATTTTTACATATGTGCCCAAAATGTTGTGTTACACCAGTTCGTTTTCATGTTCACACTGAGTTGCTGGCTCTATATAGTAATATGTAAATGGGGACAGTATTTAATATGGAACTTTATTGAGAGATTTGAGTACGAAATGATGATGGATAGGGGTTTGAAAACTTCATAAAAGAGAAAGGAAAAAGAAAAAAATAAAAAAAATTAGGAGTCTGTTGGGAGAGAGACCCGGCACATCACTATTTAAAGTGTTGTGAATTTTTAGAAAATTAGATGAACACCGGGGGGGCATAAGAGGCTCAGCAGTGTAGATTACTCCATGAATGGAAAAGAATAGTAAGAACTATTTTTGTACACCACCCAATGTGTGGCTTAGTGCAACAAACACAAAGGATCTTTTATGCTATGTTTGGTTGAGGGATTTAAGGAGGGATTTGGAAAGAGAAATAGAAAAGGTAAGTGAAATGTGAAAAAAAACATGCCTACATTTCACATAGTTTTACACATTTTTTCTTTTTTCCTTTCCAAATCCCTCCACAAATCTCCCAACCAAACACAGCGTTAGGGTGTTGTCCATTAAATCTTTTTAAAATGGTTGTCCAGTTTTATCTATTTGATCAAACTGCTGGGAGTGTTTGCTCATTTGTCTCTATTTGAAAATTTTAAAATATGCTTCTGGTGTCTTTTGATACTGGGAATTTACTTTCTTCTCAAGGGAAATGCAGATCATTTTAAGGTCATTGCACTTGTGAAATTAGTTGTCTGGCTAATTTCTATTTCACTTTTGTGACACTGTGGAGTGTGTGTTAGTCAGGGTAGCACAATTGGGCGTTCGATACTTCTCCATAAATTCGAACCCCAAATCTTCTTTTGAGCTACACTGAGTTTGTTTTGCCAAGGCAAAAATTGTTAGAATGAATTTTGCCTCTATACTTCACATTTGGTACTGCTGTCATTTTTCCTTGTTGAATATGTTAGGTCATGTTTGGGAAGGGCTAAAACCGGTTTTAGGGTCCACTCCAAAGTGGTTTTAGACCTCGTAGTGGTGAACTTAATGTAAAGGGGTTGATCGGTTGTAAAATGGTTTTTTTATTAAATGCTCTGATTGTTTGGGTCAAAAATGTTTTTTATTTTTTTGTGATTGGTGTAATGAAAACAAAAGTCAATGGAAAATCTATTGTGATTAAAGAAAAACAAATTTATTTTTGAATAAAAAATATTTTTTTACTTTTAAAAGGCGTGTGAAACGTTGGCTGAATTTCTCCTATAGATTTTAGATTTGTAGAAGTGTGTGAAACTGTACACTAAATCCTTCGAACCAATTAAGGTACATGTATTGTTAACTAGTTGGTTTGCTGGATGGATGTGTTATGAAAATCAATCAGTTGATTATAGGAAAATAATTTTAAAAAAAGATTATCAAAATTTGAAATTTAAATTCAAAATATAACTGTATTTGTTTAAGGGCAATTTGGAAATTGAAATAAGTGTGATCGGTTCACACCGAGAGTGTTTTATGTATTCGCTTATAAGTAGCATATTACTCTTAAGTTGGATCTTATATGGTTGAGTGTGACAAATTAGAAGTTAGTACTCATCATATCGCATCATTGTAAGTTTAATTGAGAGTTTTTTTTAAAGATTTCAAACATTTTTTTACAATAAATATAATATTTTAAAAAAATTGTTTGATAGTTTAGTTTTTATTTTATTTTTAAGGGGAATTACGCATGAGTGGAGATCAAAAAAGTATTTACAAAAAAGTGATAAATTTATAATTATAATTATAAAGTTTGTACTTTTTTAAAAATATTTTTTTTTTCTGATTTTCACTAACATGTAATTCCCTTTATGAATGTATATGTCATTTTCGTTTTCTTTATGATCTGTTCAGATTATAGATTTGTATAGAAATTTAGAAAATAAAAAGAAGAAAGTAAAAAATATGAAAAAAATATAAATTAATTTTTTCTTCATTTCTTTTTCTCTTTCAAAATCTCTATTCAAATTTATGATTTAAATATAGTGTTAATAAATCTCAAATTCTTTTTTTGAACACGTGATAACAGTTAGGGGTGTTTGGCATGTGTTAAAATAGTATATGTTATTTTGGTATATTATCTTATTTGGATTACAATTAGGGGTGTACATGTTGTGTTTCGGACCGTTTGAGAGTAAACTTATAAACCAAATGGTGGATTGATAAGTTGGTGTTTGAGTGATTTTGAGCGGATTGGTGAATTGTACAATATTTTAACTAATTATCAAGTATTTGCATAATATATAATATTAATTTTTATAATATTTTTTATATATACAACACAAATTAATTTTACATAATATTTTTCACATATATAATTAATATGTAATAAATTTCATATATTAAATCTTTCTCACATTCATTTTTATTTTGATATTTCATTATAGGTTAGAAAATATATATATGTATTAACTATAGTGGAACAGAACGGTTTCGAAAATGGATTATAAATTTTAAAATTTAAACAGCAATTAGCGGATAGAGCAGTACAAATTGATGCGGATCGGTGCGATTTTAGTAAATTGGGTGATATTTTGCACAGCCCTAGTCACAATTATTTTATTTGAATTACATCATTTTTCTACAATATTACTTCAAACTCAATCCATATTGCGTTTTTTTTTGTAAAAATAAAAAAATATACTTATTTAGATAATTCTAAATGTCTCTTAATATGTTAATAATTTTATTACAACACAGGTCAATTTCTATCCAAGATTAATAAATTCCAAATTCAAAAATTGCTATAATCTTGCATTCTCGATTTTGATCTTGCGCCAAATGCAAATAGTGGTTACATAATTGACTTTAATGTACGATCAATTAGGGAACTTGGGGAGAGTTGAATATGAATATTCATTAATTAATCAAAATAAATAATTTTTGCTCTGAGTGAAAAATATATATTTTTTATATTTTTTGATAATTACAACAAAAAATAAAAGTTAACAAAAAATATTTTCTATAATTAACAAAAAAGATATTATTTTTTTGGATTTAAGTTCTACCAATGTCATTACACTGTTAGGTCATGTTTGTTTGGAAAATTAAGGGGTGGGATTGGAGTAGTAATGAGATGGGTTCCATTATAACTTGTTTGGTGGCTTTCTTGTGAAGAGGGATTGCTACTCCAAGCGGCTTGCTAATCTCCCTCGGTAAGGGGGTTAGCTTAGGTGAATTTTGAGTAAGATTAGAAAAAATAGTGAGAGGATTGAGTCTATTTTATATAAAAATTTTATTTTATTTATATATATATTTTTTGACCAAGTGCATTTGTTTGTTTTAATATTTGCTTTAGTTTTTTTAATATAAAAATAATTTATTTATTTATTTTATATAAAAATAATTTAACAATTCCATCACTAATTATCTCCCACATTATCATCAAAACAAACACACTTTTATTTAATCCCTTCCTTAACAATCTCTTCACTAACAATGCTCTCACTAACAAATTCATTCAACCTAATCGGCCAAACAAATATGGCCTCCATCATCAATTCTATCACCACATGACCATACCACCGGCACAATCACCCCAACAACACCTCCTTTGTTCCACCACCACTATCACTACCATGACCATATTCATTAATACAATTATTAGTACATCAATTTCAAGAATATATCAAATCAAAGGAAATTAATTTTTTTTGAAATTATTGTTCATAAAAGATATTTTTCGTTAAAATAAATAGAATATTAATTATAACATCATTCAAAATAACATTAAAATAACATTAATGGGTTGTTTGGGATGTCCTAAATAAGTACATTTTTTATCTTTTTGGACTAAAAAATTGAGGTTGAAAATATGGATGTTTGGATTAACTTTTTGACTTTTTATGAAAAAATGTGTAATAAAAAATTGTAAAAATTGATTTGTAGGGAAATCACTAACTATCTCCCACACTATTATCAAAACAAATGCACTTTTACTTAATCTCCAGACTAACTCACTAACAAATTCATACATATTCACTAACAATCCTCTCACTAACAAATTCATACAACCTAATCTGCCAAACAAATATGGCCTCCATCATCAATTCTATCACCACATGACCATACCACCGGCACAATCACCCCAACAACACCTCCTTTGTTCCACCATCACTCTCACTACCATGACCCTATTCATTAATACAATTATTAGTACATCAATTTCAA